ATGCCACGATATATGTTCCTCACATGCACATACTAGGGTAGGAAATTACCCAATCAGTCTTATCTATTGTATGGATGCCAATTCGATCATAAATATTTCAAGTTTTACTAATTTTTTCCTAAATCTTTACGCAAAATATCAAGGCAATCATTCCGACAAATTTTCATGACTTTAACCTTTTAATCTAAATAAAGTATCTTAGACTTTACCTTTTTTTATATATAAAAGACTCTTTATATGATTTTGGTTGTCAAACTTTTTATCGAGGTTTTATATTTTGTTTATATCTAGTTTTAAACTGCCACACTTTGCGCCTTTTGATTTCATAGAACTTTAGAATTATACTCTAAATTCTTGATAAAATTGTCCAAAAAGTCGTAAACCTATTTTACGAGGGTCCTAAGCCTTTCAATGGTGTCAATTTAGTCCTAAACCTTTTGATGATTTGCCAATTTAGTTCTAAACCTTTCAATTATGCCAATTTAGTCGTAAACTTTTTGATAATTTGCTAATTTAGTCAATGTGGTCCTTTTAGCCAAATACAAAATAATTGGTTTATGACTAAATTAGCAAATCTTCAAAAGGTTTAGAACTAAATTGACACAAAAAATGTTTAGCACTAAATTGACAAATCGTCAAAATGTTTAGGACCAAATTGGCACAATCGAAAAGTTTAGGACAGAATTTGTCTTCGTATAATAAGTGTAGGATTGTTTGGACAATTATCCCCTAAATTCTTGCATATATAGGAATAAGGGTTACGGAAATTAAAGAATTGCAATAAGATAGTATTTTTTCAATCTTTTTTAAAGTTTTTACCCTTTTGCTTTCCCCAGTACAAGTTTTTAAATGACATTTTTTCTCAAGTACTAAAAAGCTAATCTTTAACAAAGGCATTTAATTAATCTTAAACTATTAGCGAAAATCGCGTAAGCTGTGTAATTATATGTTAAAATTGAAAAAATAATCCGTACACATTCTATCTGGAAGCTAATTTGTTTACACTAACTTGTGGTCGATGGATGATGCATATCCGTTTAATGATTATGTTTAGAAAAGAAGACAAAGATTTCCCGTGATATGAGAATTGAAATAGTGAATGGATTGAGGTCATCTGATCCATACTAAACTTTCGTCTCTTTATTTAGGTCAAAAGGACCCCGCCTACCAAGGTTGGAAAGACGAAGACAACTTCCTTTCAAATAAACCCATCATTTCCCAATTGCCAAACATTTAGCACGACCCGTGTGGATTAATTTGTACGTAATTAAGGAAAATAATGTACTTTTCCCAAAACCTTAGCACACAACCCAGGACTGAGCTCAGTAACTTCGAAAATCATGAATGAACGTGTGAAAAACCTCAATCATTTACAAATTCTTAGATAAGAAGCATAATATATTTCATTTCTCACTTACAAAATCATGCGCGTTTAACTTATAAGAACTGCTTGATGCAGCGGTCAACATAGTCCGAAAAAAAAAAATTCTGATCAAACAGAAACTTAGATTCAGTATATTAGTCTTTGTAGAGTCGTTAGTTTGGCAGAAACAGTCGACCATGAATTCCCACTTGCAAACCCTAACACCCTTTCGATTTCGCTTTTAGGTCATTACGAATTAAGTTTAAAAGCTGCTATGTTGAAGTGCTCAAGAGTGAAACTAGACGGATAGCGAGAGTTTTGACTTTATGCACACTCGGCGTGTCCGCATGACATTCTAAGGATAAGATGTTGGGAAGGTTCAATGGGAAAGCTTTTCGAATTTTCAAGTCCTAATTAGAGAGTTACAATCATATTCTGCTAAGAATATCAATCAAATCATACCAGTGTTAGGATTAGGCGCATAAACACAATGAACTAGAGAGTAAAGCCAAGAAAGAGAACTCAAGACACAAAATTTATTCTTGGTTTATTCTTAAATTAAGGTTACATCCAGTAGAGGATTCCACTATAATTAACACATCTCACTTCTCAGTTACAATTACAAGAGAAAGAGATTATAAATAGGCAGCAGTTATTCATAAGTCCAAGTCTAAATTACCAAATGATGTCGTTCATAGGGTAAGAACGATCTGCACACAAAAAGCCAACCACGTTTCAGTAATTTATGCGTAGAAGCTTGCTTCCGGGAAACATAGAGAGAATGACAGCAACTTAAACAAGGATTGAAGGTTGTTGTTGTTATAGTAGGCGAAACAAAAGCAAAGTGGGGAGTGAGAATTAATATTTTGTTGGTTTAATACCATTAGCAATCTCAGTCGATACCCCCATGATACATTTACCTTAAATTAATTTTCATCTCACAAAAAATTCCAAACCGGTACCCTCATGATACATTTAGCCTAACAATTTTTGCCCTACAAAAATAATAAATAAATAAGTACCCATGACATATTTACCCCAAACTAATTTTTGTTTGTTCTCCATATACGCGTTTTGCTTTGACGCGGTTCTAGAAACTTTTGAACAAGTTTGAAAATGTGAAGAAAATGTTAACAAAATCAACTTTAGCATCATGCAAAATCAAAAGTCAGCACAAATGACCAATGAAATGAGTTCAGTGATGATGTATACACGTCCATGGGTGTCCTCTTCTGTTTGAGTAGTCACTGATTGTCAGGAAGTTAAATATACAGTAGTCACTTATATCCGGTCATAACACTAAAATGATGTATTTTCAATATGTTTTGAGACGTTACATTTGAAGTCCTGGTTTACTAATCATCCAGGGTAAGTAATTGATCGAATCTTATAATGATAACCACAAAAATTCGGTTTTTGAATTCGCATTGTAATCTTTGCTTTGCGTGCTACTACTATGTTAATCATGACATTCCTGGTCACAATAATATTTATGGTAATCACAATAATTGCCACTAGTTAAGTTTGTTGAATTGTAAATAATTGCTTGTGCAGTTAATCTTAACACAGTATTGGTGTCAGAAGATGTTGCTTTTCATTTCTCTTGTCCATAAATCCTTATTTTCTGTCTTTGTTCCCTGCAAAGCATAACTCTAATTTAATATCATCTACTTCTGTATTTTAGCTTTGTATCATAATAGTTTTTACCCCCTTAGGATTGGTGCAATTGATTAGGCTGTTCGGGATTTGCAGCTCAAAAACTAGAGGCACCTGTTTGAATTTCAAAACTACGTGCGAACACATCTGGATCAAGCCGCCTGGATAGGCCAAAAATTTGGACTTAACTAGTTCATGAGATTTGTATGGTGTTCCATGAGCTCCTAGGTAGCTAAGTCTACATGCCCCAGCTTTGGATTTCAAAATGTACTATATATATTTTAAACACAAAAGCTAAACTTGGTGGAGAAAAGAGATTTATATAAACCGCACGCAGATGTATAATTATTGATTGAGATCCTCTAAAATTAAAAAAATAAGTATATTTGGTAGTAGCCCTATTGGACCAAAAGTACCTTGTTAAGGGAATTTACCTTAAACATCAATTCAATCTAACACTATAGGTGACAAAATGGTTCTAGAACCCATTTTTAACTCATATTTAATGGTGTGGGTCATAAATGAGTTGCCTTAAGTTTTAAAAAGAAGCTTAAGTGGGTCATAAATAAATTAATGGGTCTTATATGGTTTTAAATGGGTCATAAATAGGTTACCTACTAAGCTTATGTTAATCATATACTTGTCATTTTAAAATTTTATGATTTTTTAATTTTAAAATATTTTATTTTTCTTTTTTCTTTTTCTTTCTTTCATTTCTTTTTTTTTTCTAACGAAATCTGCTCGTCGACACCTGGAGAGGGCTAGGACCCTCGCTCGCAGCCAGCGAGGGCCGGCGACCCTCCCTGGACGCAAAAATAAAAAAAACGGAAAATAAAGAAGAAAAAAGAAAAAAGAAAAAAGAAAAAAGAAAAAATATAAATATAAAAAATTAAATTTCTTTCAAAAAAATTATAAAAATTGTCTACTACATTTGTATTGCATGGAAGTGTTTTAGCAATATATATATTTTTAAAATTATAAGAAACAAGTTTTCCTAAATTTGATTAAATATGGAAGTGTTTTAGCAATATGGATCGAGTATGAGTCAAAAAATTTACATTACGAATAATTGAGTTAATAAGTCAATTTGGGCTGGTTCATTTATGACCCGACTCACTCATTTGACATGTCTATACAACACACAGTTCTCTCTCTCTCTCCATATGGCATCATTACCATTAAATATGCGGGCTATTTATGACGATTTTTTCTACTTTGCTATTTTCTATGTAGATTTCACATATTGTCTATGATTCGATCGGTCAAGGCTAATTGATAAGATGGAGAATATAATATCCGGGTAGCTTGCATTGCCTTTGCTCGAAACATGGATTCTGGGGTTTCTATTTTACGAGACACAAGTGTCCTCCACTAAATCGTTTGTCCTATAAGAAAACTCCATTGGAGTATATGCAAGAAAGATCCTTCGAGTACTATCGGAGCAATGCGAGGTAGAACATGAATTCTTTAGGACAAGGATGACCAATAGGTAATGCAATAAAAGTCAGAGATGACCAATGGATTTATTTCTCCTGCTAAATTTATTTGGTGGCTTCTTTTTTTATAGTTAATTAACAAAATATAAAAAAAAAAAACATCTCGAGAACACCATTGATGATTATTGAAAATTTTGTACGTGTTGATTAAGCAGTAAGCACATAACATATAATTGTTTCATTGACGTCAAACAACTTCATTTTCGATTGTATTTTTTTTCCTTCATTGCGATCATCTTTTGTTTTTGTGGGTTTGAGTTACAATAATCATATATATAATCAATTAATCTCCATTCAGGTTATATGTCTTTCTTGTTTTCCTTTTTTTGGGGTTTGAAAATTAGGAAGCACCATGGTCATCAATAATGAACGATACACTCCCCGCTTATCGTTTCACGCGGAGAGCAGAAGAAATATCTTCGATAGATTTTTCTCTTTTTCTGTTCTTTTCCTTTCTGACGTGACGTTAAGGAGATAGCTGCTGCGAAATCGCTGGGAAAATGCCCATTTGAGCTCACACGACGACTTAGAATATGGAGGCAAATACCGGTAGATGCAAGTCTTGATTCGATCTTGTGGAAGCCAAAGAACCATTTAAATACCCGACCATTTCTGCTCCAATTTCACTCGCCATATCCAACTTAGCACCAACACCATTCGTTCACTTTACTGAACTGGTTAGTCTCTCTCTCTCTCTCTCTCTCTCTCTCTCTCTCTCTCTCTCTCTCTCCATGAATGGAGGAGACTCCACTACAAGTTCTGAGAGATCTGCCTAGTAACTTTCTGCTACTCTTTTTGCAAACACAATCATTTTTTGTTCCTCTTTTCTTTCAATAATTAGTGTTGCAGTAAAAAAAGACAAACGTGGCTTTTTCTAGCGACCATCAAAGCCCTTTTTGGCTCTCTGCGTGTTATCACATCTCGTACTTCTGAACTCAGCTGGAGAATTTTGCATAGCACGAACAAAGAAGGGTTCCCAAGCTCGTTCCTTTTCTGAGATTAGAGATAGATATGGAGCTGTTCGTTATGCTTAACTGTTCCTCCCAACTTTGTTCTTCTTCTATAAAACCAACAAAAACCAAAAAGGAAATTTTCTCTTCTCCAAAGTCACATGGAAATAATTTCCTCTTGTACGAACAAGTGGGTTTTGGTATGTTTTAATTCTTGCCTCTGCACTCCTTTTTAGAGTCTTTTGATGCTTGTTCTTGGCAAATCCTTTCGTAGCAGACTCTCCTGTTAACTCAGCTCGGTTATTTTGGAAGAGGGTCTTAACAGTTTGAGACAACTTTTCCTTAAAAATTTTCTGCTTCAGTTTAGTCTGAATTCTGAAACATCTGACAACTGTCGCTGAGAAACTATCAACTTGGTCGACATGAAACATGGGTTTCCGGTAATCAAGCGTTTAAAGATATGTGTCTCCACAATAATTCAAGACCCAGAGCTGATGAAAAATCCACTTCGAAGGTCACACATATGAATCTAAACCATTTGATTGGGTTATCTTTTTCCATCTCAGACCAAACTGTCCCAGACTTCTCAAACATTCATTATCTTTTAATTGGAATTCTGTAGAATCTGTCTCTATCTTCTCATATCTGCCTCATATTGTAGTGTCTTTGGTCCCTATCAATGGTTTTTGACCGGTTGATTTTTTTCTCATGAAGAGTGTGTGCCTAAATAATCGTATTGTTCATTGGATTTCGCAACACGAGAGAGAGATTCCACGAATCTGAAACTCATTTAATACGTTACCCTTTGTCCAAGCTTTGAAAGAAGTGTTAAAAGTTCCAATCCTGTTCAATTTGATTGAATTGTCTACTGAGAGGCAGAAGATACAGCATAGATAATTCGGACCGTTGAAATTGATAGTTCATAATTGACCTCTTGACTAGACACGCGTTCAATTTCTTGTAAATCTGCTACTGAAGGTATAGTAGGAGTATAATGTATTCGTTGAGACTACTTAAATGATCTTTCATTCGACAGAGGTGGGATTGATTGCCAGTCATGGCTCGAAACCAACTGGGGGTGCTTAACGCGCTCGATGTGGCCAAGACGCAATGGTATCATTTCACCGCGATTGTGATCGCAGGGATGGGATTCTTCACCGACGCGTACGATCTCTTCAGTATATCTCTCGTCACCAAGTTACTTGGCCGGATATACTACTTTAACCCCGACTCTGATAAGCCCGGCACCTTACCTCCCAAAATCGCAGCTGCTGTTAACGGTGTCGCACTGTGTGGCACTTTGGCCGGGCAGCTCTTCTTTGGGTGGCTTGGTGACAAGTTGGGAAGGAAACGAGTCTATGGTATAACCCTGGTCCTCATGGTCGTTTGCTCTCTCGCCTCCGGGCTCTCGCTTGGCCGCCAGCCCAAGGGCGTCATGGGCACCCTCTGTTTCTTCCGGTTCTGGCTTGGTTTTGGCATCGGGGGTGACTACCCGTTGTCTGCGACCATCATGTCTGAATATGCCAACAAGAAGACCCGTGGTGCGTTTATTGCCGCGGTCTTCGCCATGCAAGGATTTGGGATATTGGCTGGAGGGATCGTGGCCCTCATCGTCTCGAGTGCATTCGATCATGCGTTCGAGGCTCCTCCGTACTCAGAAGCTAGGGAAGGCTCCACTGTTCCGGAAGCCGATTACATATGGAGGATCATTCTGATGTTTGGCGCAATCCCGGCCGCTATGACCTACTACTGGCGAATGAAGATGCCCGAGACCGCTCGTTACACTGCCCTAGTGGCCAAGAATGCAAAGCAGGCGGCTACCGACATGTCTAAGGTGTTGAATGTCGACCTTGAGGCCGAGGAAGAGAAGGTGGAAAAGATTACGCAAGAGAGATCCCACAACTTCGGCTTGTTCAGCAGAGAATTTGCTCGCCGCCACGGAATTCACCTCGTCGGGACCACCACCACTTGGTTCTTGTTGGACATTGCCTATTATAGCTCCAACCTCTTCCAGAAGGACATCTTCAGCAAGGTGGGTTGGCTTCCCAAGGCAGCAAAGATGAACGCGATTCATGAAGTCTACCGCATAGCCAGAGCGCAGACCTTGATTGCGCTCTGTGGTACCGTCCCTGGATACTGGTTCACGGTCGCTTTCATCGATCGTATTGGAAGGTTCGCTATCCAATTGATGGGCTTCTTCTTCATGACCGTGTTCATGTTCGCTCTAGCAATCCCTTACAATCACTGGACCCGGAAGGAAAACCACATTGGCTTCGTGATCATGTACTCGTTGACCTTCTTCTTCGCCAACTTTGGGCCCAATGCCACAACATTCGTCGTGCCGGCAGAGATTTTCCCGGCGAGGCTCCGGTCAACTTGCCATGGCATATCAGCGGCGTGCGGAAAGGCAGGGGCGATCGTCGGGGCCTTCGGGTTTCTGTACGCTGCTCAGGGGAAAACTGATAGAGATGCCGGTTACCCGCGGGGGATTGGCGTCAAGAACTCGTTGATCATGCTCGGCGTCATCAACTTCTTTGGGATGTTGTTCACTCTATTAGTCCCTGAATCAAAAGGAAAGTCACTTGAGGAGCTCACGGGCGAAAATGAGGATGAGCCCGATCAGACACAGCAGCCTCAGGAGGTGTCCACTGCTAAAACAGTCCCAGAATAATTTCGACTCCCAAGTGACTTTGTGTTGAAGAACGAAGAAGTAGAAAGCAAGTGCCGAAGAAACTTCCCGTGTTGCTGAATTTTATGTAATCGGCGCTCATGATGAATAAGTTTATTAGAGAAACTACAGTTTGCATTGAAGAAACACTAGAAGATGTGTATATAAAGTTCATGTAAGATATATGAGTGAGTTTTGTTTCCATGTTTTCAATCTTCACCGTTCTACATTTACTGTCCGACGCCTACCTCATGAGACACATTCCTATATCCTTTGACGTTTCTACCTCTATTAATACATCAGAAAAGGTAACGCCAAATGAACCAGCATCAGGATTCCAAATTATTGCATTGAGGTGCATCAGTTTCAGTAATGAGACCTGTAAGTGTTGTGCGGAATCCGAGCTTGCTCATCTTTTGCATATCTGCAGATGAAATCCTAGAACTCTAACTCAGAACAAACTGAGATAGCTCAAGCAGAATAGCATACAGGTAAATGCTAATCCTGTCATTTGAATACCAAAGTTGGAGCCCAAATCGATCTGGATTCATTTGTTTCGCTTGTAAATTTGTCATGTGCTGAAACTAAAGATGAAATCCTCCAAGGTCTTAAAACTTTCCAATTTGCTGCAGTATCGTCGAGGATGGTGGCGTTACAGGGCTGCGGATCATCTGCTTTCCCCATTCCAATTCTCAAACTCATTCTTGTGGCTCCGTAATGTAAGTCGATTCGAGGTCTTATCCCTCGGATTCGAAAAAGATGGAGGGTGCTTTGAATCATGAGAAGAATCAGTGCTACATGGTCCTGATGATGTGAAAGTGCACCTTTGCACTTGTGGCTCCCAAACCACTGGGGAAAAATAATGAAGTAGACAAACATTGACTTGACTGAGATGATATGCTATGACAAAACAAAGCCTACACATCAGCATACCTTTTTTTGTGCGCGAAGCATAATCTAGTTCATACAGACAGCACGAACCCGGCGTAGTTAATCGTGTTTTAGAAAATAACCACCACGTTTAACACTCGAATTCTTAGAAAATTATAATTTATTTAATAAATGATTACAAAATCACACACGTTAAATGATATGAACCGCGAAATTCGATAGTCGAATATTACGAAAAAAAATTGTGAATACCCTAAAACTTAGAAAGCTATAAATCTTCATCCACTGAATGCATTGCATTAGGGAGAGCACCATATGAGACAGAGGATCCATGTCTTAATCAAATGGCTCCCTAAGATAAAATTAGGGGCATTAAAAAGACCCGACCCGATCCGGTCGTGCGACCAAATTAGTCTACCTAGCCATGGTAATTACCAAGTAAATATGGTATACTTGTCAAGACTCATACTCTCTTCATATTACATTTTTCTTTCGTGACTTCTAATCCAAGCAATTCTTATGGAAACATTTCCTTGCGTTCTCACCTCCAAATTCGAAATTCTTTGGGAAGGTGACAATTGAAACCCCACAAGGGCCACAACCACATACGGGGATTTCATCTAAAAGCTTCGCCATCAGATTTAATGGCTGATGACCGACCGCTCACGCGTTCCTGTTGTTGCTGGGAAGCTTCGTCGGTCCCTCAATCAATGTATTGACAGGGAAAGATTTTGAAGTTTTGCCATTCTAACCCGTAAAATTTGAGTCAATGTCAACCTCGTCTTGTACGTTGAATAGTAAAAGGAAATGGGGTCCATCACGGTTATTGAAGAAGACAGCAGGATGAGGTCCACACTAACGTGTCACGGGTCTCACTTGACCTCGCCCCAATGCCAAGATTCCACAATGTATCTTCTTCGCAAGCACATGCGGGAGCATGGATGGATTCTTCATGTACATAGTGTGTGTTATAATTATATTATCTATAATATGATCCCACATTTAGTTTATTATTGCCCACATTAATTAATTTTATCAACATTTATTGAGCGCATTTAAATACGTGATAACTATGATCGCCCAATATTAAGATAACTATCTCGATGGGAGAAGTTATCTATAAGAGTATGAATCGGGATATAAATAGGTTATCTAAGCCAAACCCTATCATAATTTTAAGATCGATCTCTCATTCATTGATTTGAGATATCGGAAAACATACTATCGACGTTGAGAGGGCAATTGGCTAGAAGTACTTATCGACGATCGTCAAAACTCCGTGTATAAGGTTCTCAATTTCATCAATGGCTAAAGGTTAGTACAGATTCTTTACGTTTCCGCAAACAATTTTGAGTATGCATGATTTTGTTTATACATGAATAATCGGAATTTTCAATCTTCCGCTATAATTAAATTTCTAACAATTTGTATCAGAGCACATGTGGTATGTGTAAAATCTGGATAACTATCCTATTAATGTTTATCTTTTTAAAAGAGTCTGTTTATTGCATCATCATCGTATGCATATTGTTGAGTGCACATGTGAGTGTGGGAACGAAATAGGTCTCATGTTAGATGACATAAAAAATCTTTGACTTGAATGTCGTTTTATATGGCACAGCCGACATTGACGTTGATATTTTTTTTCAAATTTTCTATTCTTTTTTCTTTCTTTTTTTTTCCAACTTAGGCTGGTGACTGACCCTCGCTAGCCACTGGGTGGTTGCTAGCGACCTTCACTGGCCACTAGGCGATGGGCGGCAAGGGTTGCTCACCTAGAGTTGGAAAAAAAGAAAGAAATAATATAATATAATATAATATAAATTCATAAAAAATTTCAAAATTTCAAAATTTGTTTATGTCAATATCGGTCTTGCCACATAGGATGGCAAAATCATACTCGTTAAATGATAACCACTGCGTTTATCACTGGAATTCTTTTAAAATTATAATTTATTCAATAAAATGAGTTACAAAATCATACACGTTAAATGATAATGAACCATTGAATTCAATAGTCGGATATAATTAAAAAAATTTGTGAATACCCAGAAACATAGAAGCTATTTGCATTAAAGAAAGCTCCGTTCGTTTGGCGGAAAATATTCTCCTTTTGGAAAATATTCTCCCGGAAGTCATTTTCTTGGAAAATGTTTTCCCGGAACATAATTTTCCGGTACTCGGCAACCAATATGAAAAAGTTTCGGAAAATATTTTTCGCCGGCGGCGGCGGCGGCCGGCGACCGGCGGCCAACGTCCGCGCCTCCGGCATCTGGGCGGGCGGCGGCGGCCGGCGACCGCGGCCGACGTCCGGTGGCGGCGGGCAATCGGGCGGCGGCGGCGGGCGGCGGGCGACCGCGGCGGCCGCGCACCGTGCGAGCCGGCGGCCGGCGACCGGCCGCCGCGGCGCGAGGCGGCGGCGGCCGGCGACCTTAGTGAAGAAGAAGAAGAAGAAGAAGAAGAAGCTCCGGAAAATGATTTCCGCTTTTGAAGAAGCGAAAGTCATTTTCCATAAGCTTAGGCTATTTTGTGAGGGGGCGAAGGAAAATATTGTCCCACGGAAAACGTTTTCCGCCCCCTGAACACCGGAAAACCCGGAAAATATTTTCCGGGAGAATATTTTCCGCCAAACGAACGGAGCCTAAATATGGAATTGGTACCATACGGTACACTTGCCTCGTCAAGAGTCATGCTCTTTTCATATTACATTTTTCTTTCGTGACTTCTAATTCAATCAATTCTCATGGAAAATGTTTCTTCGAGTTCCCACCTCAAAATCGAAATTCTTCGGGATGTCATGACAATTGAAACCCGCGTTCCTGTTATTGTTGATGGGCATCCGCGTTTCTATTTTTTTTCCAACTTAGGCTGGCGACCGACCCTCGCTAGCCACTGGGTGGTAGCCAACGACCTTCACTGGCCACTAGGCGATGGGCAGCAAGGGTCGCTCGCCCAGAGTTGGAAAAAAAAAAGATATAATATAATATAAATTCATAAAAATTTAAAAAATTTCAAAATTTGTTTACGTCAACATCGGTCTTACCACATAAGATGGCAAAATCATACACGTTAAATGATAACCACCACGTTTATCACTGGAATTCTTTTAACATTATATTTTATTCAATAAAATGAGTTACAAAATCATACTCGTTAAATGATAATGAACCGTTGAATTCAATAGTTGGATATAATTAAAAAAATTGTGAATACCCAGAAACATAGAAGCTATTTGCATTAAAGAAAGCACCACACAAGACAGAGGATCCATGTCCTAATCAAACGGCCCCCCACCTAAGCCATATGGTCGATAAAATTAGGGAAGTAAAAAGGATCCGGCCCGATCTGATCCGAATAGACCCAGCCCAATCATGCAACAAAATTTGTCTATCTAAATATGAAATTGGTACCATACGGTACACTTGCCTTGTCAAGACTCATGCTCTTTTCATATTACATTTTTCTTTTGTGACTTATAATTCAATCAATTCTCATGGAAAACGTTTCTTCGTATTCCCACCTCAAAATCGAAATTCTTTGGGATGTCATGACAATCGAAACCCGCGTTCCTGTTATTGTTAGGAAACTTCTTCAGTTCTAGACCTGTCAAAATGGGTCATAAACTCATTTCTTAACCCATATATTAGTAAATGTAAATGAGTTAGTTATATTTAGTAAATGGATCAAAGTGGGTATAAGTATAATATGGGTATTAAATGGGTCGTAAATGGGTCGTAAATAGGTTTACAACTTATTTAAATTCAACTCATCTCTGTCGTCTAGACCTGTAAAAATGGGTTATAAACTCATTTCTTAACCCATATATTAGTAAATGAGTTAGTTATATTTAGTAAATGGGTATAAGTCTAATATGTGTGTTAAATGGGTCGTAAATGAGTTTACAACTGATTTAAACTCAACTCATCTCTCTTACCCTCACTCAATCTCGCGCTCGCTCACTCACTCCGCACTTTCATCTTAGTTTGGATATAAGTTTTCCTAGATTTAGTTAAATATGGAAGTATTTTAGCAATATGGATCGGGTCGAGTATGGGTCTGGTTGGGTATGCGTTAAAAAAATTACATTGCGCATAAATGGATCATAAACGAGTTAATGGATCAATTTGGATTTTGACCTTTTATGATCCGACCCAAATTCGATCCATCTATTTGACAGGTCTACTTAGTCCCTCAATCAGATGTATCGACAGGGAAAAATTTTGAAGTCTTGCCTATCTAACCAGCAGAATAATGGTAAAAGAAAAATGGTCCATCACAGTTAATAAAGAAGACAGCACGATAAGGTCCATTCT